AGTTTTATTGGCTTATTTTAACAATTTGATCGCATGATGCCCTTCGATATTATTGCAGATCTGCTGTAAGCTAGCTATCTCATGTAGCAAACCTAGTCATTTCAAATATACTCACAAAACACTTACAATTATGAAACAGACTAACTTCAAAATGCCCGAAAGTCAACAAGGCATGTTGGCCTCTGTACAACGCTGCATTAAAATGTACATAGTCTACTATTATAATTTTACAACTATCAAACATGACATACAATAGAAGGAAGGTTTGTATTACCAAAATCTAAATCAAATATGGGACAGAAAACAGCCATGATCAGCTGGAACTCTTTACCGGTTCACATCATTCAGGAAAATTCTCAAGTACATTTCAAAAGGTTGCTAAAACAATATTTAAGTATTACAAAGTACATTTGAACTGTGCCTGTGGCTATGTATGCATATATTATTATGTACACTTATTTGTATTTACTTTTGTTTGGCCTTAGGATGGCGATAATTGGATGACCATTTTAGTTTTCACTTCATTTCACTGTAAATTGCATGACATTATGAGCTGTTTTGTTTTGTTTTAATTTTGTTGTATGTATGTTTATGTATGTTTTGAGTGTGTGAGGACCCCAGGAAGAATAGCCAATGCTCATGCTAGTGCTAATGGGGATCCTAATAAAGACATACAGTAAATGGTGTTTACTTCTGTTGCAGCTGACCCTGCAACCCAGTCTCACGGCATTTCGTGTTCACCAACACGATTTTTAATCTATTGATTCGTGTTCACCAACACGATTTTCCCCTTTTTTTCGTGTTGCACAGCACGATTTTAAAAGCAATGTATTTCTACTGCCTGCAGCACGTCTTTTTCTCCGGTCGGGTCGTGGGAGACCGGAAGCTGTGTGGTTCATAAAAACATGTTCTTACTCAATATCAAGCCACAATTATTGCTTTTATTTTAAATCGTATAATTTCGGACTTTTGTTGCCGTCTGTGAGGAAAATAAATGGGGCTCAGAGCCTCAGAATACGGAAATCTGTATTTTTAAATATTTTTTTCCTTCTAATTCGTTATTCTTTTCAAAATAACACACTGTTATTTACTCACCAATAACACACAATTATCCTTGCTTTTATTTATTGGTTTAATGCCATAATCTCGGGCTTTTTTGGCGTCCGTCAGGAACTGAATTTCAAAATAAAAATAACCGGAAACAGACGTAGGCCTATAAGGGACATTTCGAGCATCATTGCGATTGTCAACATTTCTGAGTTTAGGATGGCCGAAGACACTACACTACCCATAATCCCCAGCTATCGTTTAGGACTACAGTCCCGTAAGGTTACGCAGAGCGTCAAACAGCTGTGTGAAATGGAACGAAACCACGCCAGACTATCCAAAACTGGAATCGAACGCCCCCCCCAGAACTACACATGCTGGCTATTGTGTTTCGCAAAATGTTCTATGGGACGTCTCTACTGAACATTTTCGTTTTTCCCACAATTAGAAGTTGTCAGTATTAAACACATTGGTGTTATCAAATGTAAAACATATAATTAATAAATGGGTGAAAATTGCTTGTGTCCATAATGCGCAGCATTAATACCCACATGACAGCTCATTGTTACTTTGTAATTATACTCCACTACAATTCAGAGGTTAACCTGGTATTTTTACTCCACTGCATTTATTTGAGTTACTTTGCAGATACTTGATTAATTATGTGAAATATAAACAACCCTTAAATCAGACTTTAGTTACACCTGAGTAAAATTCAGGTAAGGTGATTGTCAAGTGCCAACAATCAGGAGAGATATTTGATAGTTGGTGCTTGAGAAGACTAAACATGTATCTGCAATTGACATGAATGGAAACGAGTAATAAAGTATATTCATTACTCGTTATTCTCTACTAATAGTTAATTAAAGACTGTATATTATGGCTATTTTGCACATCCGTTTCAAGATTTTCAAAGGTTTATTGACATATCATATACACAACTACGGTGTAGTTATGCAATGAATGAAACACTTGGGTCACAGGTTCCTCAACAGTGCATTACAAGACATCTATCAATATGTGTGTACCTCCACCATCAAACTGTCATATTCTGCAAATTTCTTATTCTATCTACATACATAAGAGTATAATTCATATGTATAATATCAGTTAAAAATAAGTGCTTCAACATAGTTAACATTGCAGGAAAGCAATATATTAGACGTTAAGTACTTTGTCAGGCTTAATATTTATCTGTAGATAGATACCCCCAAAGTTTTTTTCTTATTTAAAAGAAGACCTTAATCTGTTATTTAATGTTTAAATAAAGGTTAATTCGTTTTTCTGTTTTGCACCTCCTCCTATTAATATCTTTGTACATTCTGCACTAAACTGTTTTATTGTAGAGATCACTTAGAGTATCTTCTTGATTTTTTACATTCTATATTTATACTTTCCCCCTATGAAAGTATGTACTCTTAATATTTTTGTAATCAAATATAACAATAATTCAATAACGTGCTTTAACCACTAGGCGGTGCACACAAGGTACACACAGCCATAATAACTTTGTATTATAAATGTAGGACACTTATGTTTTCGTACAACATCTGAAGATGTGAAGTTTTATGCATGCTTTCACATAATTTTACAGCATATTGCTATACTATTTCAGACTCAGTATTTACATTCTTACATTCAAAGAAAATCAGTAATATCTTTAAAAACCGTTATGGTTTAAATATAACCTATCTGTGAATTAGATCAAATGTAAAAGTCAGCCGAATTAGTGTTGATACTGCAAGGAGATGTATTGTGTGAATATAAATTGAAGATGTTGTTTAATTGTTGAATATATTTATGATCCACGTCAAATATTCAGTTTCGGCAGCATTTTCTCAGTTTTTCCAAAGGTCTTCTCATCAGGGCTCTATAAATAAAGAACTACGGCAGATCTGTAATATACAATGCAGCCGAACCGTGTATTACAATGCCGTTATGTGATGACTTTCAAAGAGAAAAGCAAGAGCGCTCGGAATTAAGTATTATTTTATTCTTTTAAAATGTTTTCCGGATTTCATATCATATAAACACCAAATCCCAGCATGCATTGCGGCTAAAACATCCAATAAGCGAGCTTAAAACCATAGCTGAGGATCTTGGGTAATCACTCGAAATGCCTACGTCTGTTTCCGGTTATTTTTATTTTGAAATTCAGTTCCTGACGGACGCCAAAAAAGCCCGAGATTATGGAATTAAACCAATAAATAAAAGCAAGGATAATTGTGTGTTATTGGTGAGTAAATAACAGTGTGTTATTTTGAAAAGAATAACAAATTAGAAGGAAAAAAGATTTAAAAAATACAGATTTCAGTATCCTGAGGCTCTGAGCCCCATTTATTTTCCTCACAGACGGCAACAAAAGTCCGAAATTATACGATTTAAAATAAAAGCAATAACTGTGGCTTGATATTGAGTAAGAACATGTTTTTATGAACCACACAGCTTCCGGTCTCCCACGACCCGACCGGAGAAAAAGACGTGCTGCAGGCAGTAGAAATACATTGCTTTTAAAATCGTGCTGTGCAACACGAAAAAAAGGGGAAAATCGTGTTGGTGAACACGAATCAATAGATTAAAAATCGTGTTGGTGAACACGAAATGCCGTGAGACTGGGTTGGACCCTGATAACGTCTTTGTGGTATCCCATATTGTTAAGCTATAATCCAAATAAAAACTCTCTCAACCACACAGTGTTAACAACATCAGCCAAGTAAAAAAGTTATTTACACAGAGGCATCAAAAGAGTGACCTTATGTGCATTATTAATGCTTTCTTATAACACAATGTTTGTAGAATTTACTCTACCAATATGCAATCGCAGCAGCTGTGTTTGCAGTTAAATATTTCATATATGAATAAGGCCTGGTAAAGATAAGATAAAATGGACCTTGAATAACCCCGTATAGAAATGCAAGTGTCAAGGCAGCAACAGAATGAGAAGAAAGCACCAATATTACAAAGATGTATAAACAATAAATTCCAATCTTTATTCCAGACTCAAGGTCCATATCAGACAAAAAGACAAAACACACATCAATAAATAAGATAAAAAGCTAAACACAAAACAGATAAAAACAAACAGATAAAAACATAAAATCAGTCCAATCACAGCGAGCCACACATGCTCACCGTCTGTAGAGGCTATTGCTCCAATGTCTCCAAATCATGGAAGAGAACCGGGTAGAACTCTTCACAGGGTTAATTAAAATCGAAATAACATAATTGTCCGAGTCTACTAGGCGACACATGAATTTGTACATTAACTTTCTTAAAAGGGCTTGACAGGTAGGTACCCCCAAGTTTACAAACAGCTGGCTGGCACTGTGCCATCTTGGTACCCTCAGCAGCAACCGTAAAGCATCATTGTATGCAACTTTTAGTTTGTGTATGCTTCTAGCCTTGTAGTTACTCCACAGGTGAGCCGTACGTACAATGGTGTACAGAAAGCTTTAAAAAGTGATACCTTGACATCTACAGAGCACTTGTGAAACTTACGCATTAATATGTTTGCCTGGGCATACAGTTTGCAGCGTTGCCTATGGATGTCTTTGTCATCTGTGAGATCATCAGAAATATAATGACCAAGGTACTTGATCTCACTGCACACAAGAATAATGTTGCTACTGAGAATAAAATGAGGAAATACAGCCTTTTTATCCTCTTTACTTCGCACAATCATGATGCTACTCTTCTTGGCGTTATACTTAATATTAAAATCAATGCCATACTGGGAACAAGTCCTCAGAAGCTGTTGTAAGCCAGCACTGCACGGGGAAAAGATGATTAAATCATCTGATATTACAAAGATGTATAAACAATAAAGATGTAGGCCTATTAACAATAAAACAATTAATAGGAATAAGCCTGTAAATTACTTTGTGTTTTTGAGAAATACTCAAAGGCCGTTGAGGACTAAATGCGGGTATTTTTGGGCTGATTTTCTTTGCCATCTTTGGCCCTCCTTAAAGGAAATCCGGAATTCCAGTGGGAGGGTTCAAAGTGTATTCAGCCCTATATATAGTCTATGATTCAGACCGGAGATCTCTACGGACTCACTCCTGCACGACATGTAAGTGTTAACTGAGCGTCTTGTCTCCATTTGTGCAGCTTAAACACCATGCGAAATTATTGCGATAGTGAACGAGCGTTGTGACGTTTACTGAGCGTGCAAATATCGCCATCAGCCGTAATGTTACACATATCGAGAGACACTGACGCGACAGGCTTTCTATCTCTCTATTTGAGTTTCAACTGCTGTTGGAAACATTTATGCACACACAAGGGCAGCTGTGTTATGATAGTGAAGATATGACGTGCAGCAGCTGGAAACATGCTCACGTTCAGCGAACCTAGCCAAGAATGTTAGCGATCCGCCAGAATGAAGTTCGTTTCACATTGGGAGTCCCCCCTTCAATATCCAGCAACAGGTTCAACCAGTGGACTGTGTACATATTGGCAGTGCAGTGGGATGACTGAAAGGATAACATCTATCTGAATGCTTATTCTGTATAAAGACAGTCAGTAGAAATTAAAAATGTGTAAATTGAGTGAATGTACATGGCTATAATGTAGCTACAATATCAAATCAAACCAAATCAAAGTTTATTTATATAGCCCAATATCACAAAACACGTTTGTCCCAGTGGGATTTACAGGATATAAACATAGATGACAATGTACAATATAGTATATAAGTGTATATATATATATATATATATATATATATATATATATATACAATACGATTATTAAAAACATGATAGAACGTGAAATACAAATAAAATAGATACAAATAAAACGAGATAAAATACAACAAAAACACAACAAAAACACAGTAAAAACAATACGAAACCTGAACACTCCTACAATATGAAACCTGAATCATGTAGACCTACTTGCGGATTTTCCTTTATTATTTCCTTGTTATGCTACTTCATATGGTGGCTGACAGGGGGCACATGCTCTATAACGGCCACAAAACCCTTAGATTAAAGGTCCCTTGTCATGGCCTATTCTACTGATCATAATTCCATTGTTGAGGTCTACTAGAATATATTTACTTTGTTCAATGTTCCAAAATCACATTGGTTTTCTCATACAGCATCTCTGTATAGTATGTGTATTCACTCTCTGTCCTACACGCCTGTCCTACACGCTCCTGCCCCCCTCCCCCTCCCCTCACTATGAGCCCACTGTGCTCTGATGTGTGTTTATGTGTTACAACGGCGTTTGTTAGCAACCAGAAAAGGACACAAGTAATCAGTGGCGTTTTCTCCTGGAGGCCAAGGGAAGCCAGGCTTCCCCTGTTTTTTCGGATTGTAGTTATCATTTTAATAAATAAATAAAAACACTTCGTTTAGTTTCGGAAATTCTTTGTTGTGTGTTGCTCATACAGTAGGTGTTGCTGCCGGTCCATCTCTCCCCCATTCTCATTGAGCATTTTACAAAGAGTGAAACAGCGCCCCTCTAGATGTTATGGTGAAACAGTAGATTGCACTCTCTGTTGCGAGAGGAGGCCAGCCGAAATTGGCTCCCTTGGTGAAAAAAATTGAGGGATTGACCAATCAAACAAGGCTCACGTCATGCCGCTGCCAACCTGTGATTAGTCAGGGTCATGCCAAGGGAAGCCAGAGGCGGCTGGCTTCCCTTGCCTCACAATCCAATCAAATCGCATCAACTTAGTGTTGCAGTGACGCATCCTAAAACCCGGAAGTAAGCTGCGCTCGCGTTCCCTCGACAAAAAAGCAATGGGATTTCTCCATAGGATTTTGGAAAATAGCTCGAAATAAGGTCAGTGGAAAACGAACCTGTTAGATAAATGCACGTTTTGTTCAGTCGGATAATATCCACATGTCTACCCTACTTTTATAATTTTCGAATCATTAATCTAATCGATAGAAGATAGATAGCGTCACTGCACCACTCTCACCGCCGTTAGAAAGTAGCAAGCAACTGAAGCAAGTGCAATTATGGAGGGTGGAGATTTGGAGTATTTAATCAACAATAATTGTACTAAACTTCCGCTACAGCAGCAACAACAAATACAATCTGATGACAGGCCAATGCCCAAACTGGAGCTGTGTACAGCGAGGAAAAAAGGAGCGAATCGGACGTCAAAGGTCTCCTGATTTAGTTTGTGAATTAATGCTTATTAGAGTTTCGGCTGGAGAGTGCGTGCGGACCTGTCGGTTAGATAACAGGCGTGTGTAAGTCCTGCATCTGTATGATACAAATGTGTGTAAAATGATACCGGGTGCTGTAATCACTCATCTGGTTACGTTATTACATTGACCACCACACCCCTGACCCAAAAGAAAGGACGTATTATTGGCTTCCCCTAATTTTTTCCCCACGCCACGCTACTGCAAGCAGTGGCGGTTCTAGACCAATTTCACTGGGGGGCCAGTTATTTTCTGAGGGGGGCACAATAAATGCAGGACGAAAAAGAGAACTAGACAGTATGAAGTAATTGCGCATAAGAAAACAATGCAATACAGTTATTGGTATTTGTTTCAGTACACTTATTTATTTCAGATAGATCTTATAGTTATTACTGTTAGCTTCAGCTTAAGTTATAGTGCAATGTTTGCACTAACACCATATTTATATAAAAATAAAGGCAATGAACAGTTACATCTCTACTTTACATAAGGGTGTCTGCACAATCTCACATTACAGAAACAAAATCCTGCGGTTTTTGGCAAACCGAGTACCAGAAAATATACATTTAAAAAAAACAAAAAACTTTTCATTGTTAGGGGGGTCAGAGGTCAGTGGTAGGGGGGCACTGGCCCCCCCCTAGAACCGCCCCTGATCAAGTAATGACAAACAGATGAGAATGCTGCGTGGGGTGGGGTCTGGGTGCCGTGTTGGCGGGACGTTGCGGGGCTCGCTGCCCCGCCCTTTGAGGCTCAAGGAGCGGACAGTGTGAGCTGGATTACTGGTGTTGTTTCCTGGTTGCTGCGAGGGGTCTGCGAGACACCGCGGAACTCAGCCTGAGCACACACACGCGAGTGTGTGGCGAACTGTGAGTGGAGATTCACGGAGCCGCGGCTGAGAAAAGATAAGGTGTGTGTGTGTGTGTGTGTGTGTGTGTGTGTGTGTGTGTGTGTGTGTGTGTGTGTGTGTGTGTGTGTGTGTGTGTGTGTGTGTGTGTGTGTGTGTGTGTGTGTGTGTGTGTGGTGTGTGTGTGTGTGTGTTGTGTGTGTGTGTGTGGTGTGTGTGTGTGGTGTGTTGTGTGTGTGTGTGTGTGTGTGTGTGTGTGTGTGTGTGTGTGTGTGTGTGTGTGTGTGTGTGTGTGTGTGTGTGTGTGTGTGTGTGTGTGTGTGTGTGTGTGTGTGTGTGTGTGTGTGTGTGTGTGTGTGTGTGTGTGTGTGTGTGTGTGTGTGTGTGTGTGTGTGTGTGTGGTTTTGGGGCAACGTAGACAGGTATTTTCTGTGTTAGAGTTTTACTCGCTTTGCGGATCGTTTACATGCATAAAAAGCTACATAACACACAAGGGGACGGGTAATAACCAGAAAAGCATGACATGGGACCTTTTTAAAAGAAATGCGCTGCAGTTTAAAATACGAAGCAAAGTGAAAAACATAACACATGCAAATGAGCTGTCACATTGGTACAAAGGTTTCTTCATTTGCATGTGTTATGGCGCATTTGTGTTTTTATGTTTGCATAGTTTTTGAAAGTGCATCAAGTTTCTCCTGATGTAAGTGTTTTGGGCTTTTTAGCGCATTTGCCCCCGGCGGCCACCATTACTTAAATACTTTGGTACAAACCATTTTAGAGGTAAATATTGTATATTTTGTATGGATGGAGTTAGACTTGTCTTGTATTTAAAATTATTTCCAACTTGACCATATCTAACCTTTTTTAAAGGTGGGGTAGGTCATTTTGGAGAAACCAGCTCGAGTGCGCTAGAATTTGAAAATACATAGCCGCAAAAAATCTGCCACTTCCTTACAGAGCCCCTCCTCCAACACACGAACCCGCACATGACCAATGAGGGCACGAGATAAGTTTGTGCACAGATGGAAGGCTGACAGGCAGGTAGGCCATCCAGTTATTTTAGCCGGGCCGGCTAAAATGATTGGAGCGTGCTTTTTACAGCGCCACGGCTTCCACAGATGACATTATTTTTTAATGGATTTTTTGTCAAAGCACTTCAGATATTCATTGCTATCGGGATGTTAAGAGCATTCCATGCAATATAACAAAAAGTGTATCTCGAGCCGGTTTCTCAAACTTATCTACCCCACCTTTAATTACTGTTTGCATGATGATGCTTAAAAACAATATTAGCTTAGTAATATGATGACACTATAAAGGCCCATTATGACAAACGAATACTTTGAGTACATTTATCTGATAATGCTTTTGTATTTAAAAACTGTTATTGTTCCTATACTGTAGTATTACTCCTTTTACTAATGCGAATGATATATTATATTAACATTCCGGCCCTCTTAGCTGTTAATGGAAATATGTTGTGTTTTTGTGCCAGATTATTTGCCATGGCCTCTCCACTGAAGAGTCTGGTTATTGATGATAACAGGTACCAGAAATCCTTCCAGCTTTTTCTGGAGCGCTCCTCCGAGCATCAGTGTATGCAGGACTTCATCCACAACACGCTGCCAGATATACTGGCCAGGTAATCTGCCACACACACACACACACACACACACACACACACACACACACTCACACACACTTTCTATGAGTGAAGCCACAGACCTTGCCATTGACAGTATAATAAAAATCATCAGAAGTACATTCAAATATATTGATGTACTCTTCTATACTAGAGTGTTTGCCAACATTTCTGCGTCAAGTTAACTGATTAACTCTCTTAAATCAGTTAGTACAAAATGCAACAAAGTACAAAAATACCCCAAATTTGTCGAGAGAAAGCAGTGACATGTTTATTTTTCCATATTTTAAATGTTTTCAAAAATGTTTGATTATGTCATTTTTGTTTAACCCGTACATCATTCTTAGATTGTCAGAACTGTCAAACATTAATATTGGCTTTAAACAATCCTGTTAAAGTCAAACCGTAGTGAACATACAGTATAACTTGTTATTCAAGTGTTGTGATAATATTGTTGCTGGATAACTAAATTACCATAAGCCTAGAGAGATGTTCTTAACCTTTGAGCAATCCAGGGGGGAGACATAGAAAAGATGCATTATTTAGTAGATGAAGGCAGATTAGCGGAAAATAGAAGTGATTGTGATTAACACGACAGATTCAGAGAGGCTGATTATTACTAAGGAGGATCAGCCTCATACTTCACTTGTTTTTCCTTAAACTAAAAGTAACTTTGTGCTTGCAAGAGTGTATACACCTCCAACAATTACACTGTCAAACAAAGTTAAAGAAAATGCAGTGTGAAGACTTCTGCTGCAAAGGCTACGAACAATTAAGCAGTGCAGTGTCAGTTTGTTATGACTAAACTTAGAACCCCAAACATAACATATTAATATTTTATGAGTAGCTCCTGCCTACTGTCACTGAGATGCTTACAAAAACGAAATAAATGATTGCACACATGTACATAGCTAAACAAGGTGTGCATACAGTATGTGAATGACAAGAAGTGTATATAAAATGTCCCTTCTTAAAATGTTCTATGTTCATATAAGCTTGAGCCTGAGAGAACTCTGTGAGCAGGAAGCAAATCTGGAGTGATATCACTCCCAAGTAATTAAAACAGATAATAGTGTTATTAAAATCAGTTGGTGATTGACAGAACATTTCATAGGAAGAATGAAAGCCCCGAGCCGGGAGATGCTTCAGATATAAGAACATCTCGCGATGTCAGGCAGAATTGACGGTTACAGCCCCAATCGGCAGGTAGGAAGCTGTGAGTTTTTAAGTTGAGTTCTTAAGAAGTGCTTTTCTGCTCTCCCCTCAGCATTGGAGATGGAAAGTCCCATCTAAATGTCATTGGAGTTGGAAGTGGAGCTGGTAAGAAGACTCAGTATAGGACACTTTAAGTGCCAAACGTATCTTGTGTTTTGTGTGACACGGTTAGTAGCTGAGCGACCTCTGCTGCAGACAGCGAAGGTGAGGAGGCGTTGTAGAATCAGCCTGCAGCATTAGTTCCTTTGGTACTGCTGTTATGCGGCACTAAAAACCTTTACCCTTATTATCAGTGGTGAGAGTTTGAACCCATCTACCTGGTTGTCAGATTAATCTTTAACCTCGGTCGTGGACGGAGTGACCTCACTAGTGTGTGGTTTCACTGCATTTTGTTTCCAGTGCTCATGACACAGCAAGTCTAATTTGTTCCTGATCAAACTCACTACATGCACATGAGTGCTATTACCCTTCACTTATGTCGGAGCCAATTCCTTTAATTTACCTGAGCTGTCATGTCAGTGTCATAATGGAGCGGCGGTACAGATTCTGTGATGGACTGTAAAATCCATTAGAATGCCTACAAGGTATTATTCAATCTAATCAGAAAGATTCAGCGCCTGTCCACATCGGATTATTTACTTGGATGTACTCTTGTACATGGAAATGTGTCAGATTCAATAACTAGAACAAAATCACCTGCATGTGGCAAAGTTATATTTGGAGAAAAATCCTAGTGAGCTTTGACTCGAGGCTTTTCTGAGATTATAGCAACATCAAATGTATAATTTCCTGCATACCTGACAAGTACAACTGTTTGAAATGTGGTGACATGCATTTACTTTTATAATTGAACAGTTTGGCTGCTGTCGGGAGAATGGGTCGAGATTTTATTAGCAAAAAATGGGTGTTTTTCAAAATAAGAACTGTTGGCTTGTGTAGGTGAGATTGACCTCGAGATGCTCTCCCAGCTCCGTCTGAAGCACCCAGGGGTGACGGTGGATAATGAGGTGGTGGAGCCTAGCAGCACGCAGCTACATCAGTACAAAGGTACAGTCTTATAGGCACACACATATCTCTCAAACCGCACATTTATACTGTGTCTGTATATTCACATGCCCCCAAAAAGGTGTTCTGATATGTAATTTAACAGCATAAAAAAGGCTATATATTCACATTTGTTGTATTTCAATGCAGAGAATACATTATATGTCTGCCCTTGGCTTTCCCACTTATACATAAATAATACAGTTATACATGTATTACAGTAGCAGGGGGATGGTCCTTTGACCACCAACCCCAGAGTCTAGCCCTCATGTCAGCAAGTATCCACCTTTCAGAATCTCTTTTTGAGAAAAACTGTGACCAGGAGTTTAGAACAACTTCTACTAGTTCTACTTTGAAATATTCACACAAACAAATGTATTCAAAATGCTACCCTAATAAAAGATGTAGGCAAACTGTGATCCTGAAGTTCCTCTTTCTTATCTTTTGTGTCCATTTCTGCTGCATTGAGTGCCAACAACTATTTTATTTCCTGTGGGTGGCTCAATTACTGTAGCCAAGAGTCTGTTGACTCAAAACTTTACCAGAATTAGTGTTTTCTAAAGCGTCTTGAAATCTTTTGTGATATCAAGACTTGCCCATGCTTGCCTCCTTCGCATCGGCAGTTTAAAGAAAAATCAATGTTGGATGGAAAAAGATAGTTGAAACTAAACTTATCACAAAAAAAGATGTGTTTCCAACAATGTGACAAGCAAATGTTATAGTCGTAAATGCAGAGACTAAAATATCGAAGTAGCAGAAAAGTATTTTTCTGACCTACATAAGTTATTTTATACTTTCCCTGTGTGGTTTAAAGATGTTTCATTTACACAAAGTAACATTGATTCTGTTTTGTGTCTCTTTATATAGTTATGGTGTCACAGAAACCAAATTTAGATCACATAAAATGTACCTGGAACAAGATGACTGCCTCCGAGTTTGAGGAGCAGTGGAGAGTGAAAAAGATGACTAAGAAGGCTGACTTCATTCACATGATACAGGTCGGTGACACTGACGTGTGCTTCTTGCTCACAGACTATATTTTTGACACATCTAGGTCGTATTCGCGCTCCACAGTAATTAATCCCATTAGAACATCTGTGTAGCATAGCGTTCTAATTAGGTGCTATGTGAATCCAGTTACCAGCTCATTATCTGTGGTGAAATCTACAGATGCTGTACTATGTGAAGGATCCTGGAGCTACCATCGAGTTCTTCCAGAGCCTCCTCGACAAGAAGGGGAAGCTTCTTATCATCCTAGTATCTGGTGAGTCGATGGATTTAATCTCATATTATCCATTTTTTATATTTTCTTCTCTCTGATGGCAAGGGTTGGTTATGCTGTATATAGTCAGCACACCTATTTTCTATAGATTCAGTACAGTATTCAGGGAACAAAATCATTTTATAAATATATAAATATACAAATACCATAACTGTTGTTATCAGAAGTTGTGAAAACAAGAGAAAACCCTAAATGCGCAAATAAGAATTATTGTTGCTTTCATGATACAGGGATACAACTTAATATATTGCAAAACTGTCAAGCATGGTGATAGATATCACTTGAATTGAAATAATAATAATAATTTGAGAAAAACAGTCAGGGTACAAGGAACACACCACCATATGCATAACATCTAAGTGGAAAAGGTTTCATTTTTGTAAGCATCTAGAAAAGAGGGATCTGCTAATGATTTATCACAGTCCAAAACACTACACTTTTTGTGCTATCTCTGCCACATATCTTTGCATCTTACAATACAAAAATCAATACAGTGTTTGTTAAGAGTTGACACTGTTACACAAATCATAATTGTGATCATTTGAGACCAATTTGCTGCTAAACTAATGATATTCCCATCAGTCTCAGCTTTATTTGATATTTAGTGCCAATTAGCAAACATAGATAGATAGATAGAATTGGAGCTATGACACCCTCTTTAATGGTCACACATGCATACAGCATACACAGTGAAATTTGACCTCTGTATTTAACCCATCCTAGTAGGAGCAGTAGGTAGCTATTGTACAGCGCCTGTTGAGCAATGGGAGTGGGGGGTGGAAGTTTGTCCAGTGCCTTGCTCAAGGGCACCACGCATTTAGAATGCTAGCATGCTAAGATGTTGAACAAGGTAAAAATAGTAACTGTCAAGAAAAAAAATTGGACAAGAGCACATACACATTTTGTTTGTTAATCGTGCAAACATATGAAAATGTTACTCGCCTTGCCTATATTCGAGTAAAAAAGACCTCAAAAAGTGTGAGCATGTTAGCATGCTGAGTTTAGCATGTAGCTCTAAGCACTGGTAGGCCAGAGTAAAGCCTCGAGAGCTGCTAGCTCGGCTGTAGACTCTTATTTCTACTTTCATGTAATCTTTTCCAGGTGAGAGTGGTTGGGGAAAGCTGTGGCGGACCTACAGGAGCCAGCTCTGTAACACAGAAATAAGTCAGTGTGTCACCACTGGAGACATGAAAAGCTTTCTGGACTCCAAGGGTGTGAGCTACCAGAGCTACGAGCTGCCTTCTCAAATGGAAATCACCGAGTGTTTCACAGAAGGGGATGAGAAGGGAGAGCTGCTGCTTGATTTCCTCACTGAAGTGCTGGACTTCAGTAACACAGCCTCTCCTGAGCTCAAAGCTGGTGTCCTGGAAGTACTGCAGCACCCAGACTGCAGCAAGGAGTCCAACGGCAAAGTTATCTTTAACAACAACCTTGGGGTCATAGTCATAGATCCGCAAACTTAGAAACAAATGCTTAAAGGTGGGGTAGGTCATTTTGGAGAAACCAGCTCGAGTGCGTTAGAATTTGAAAATACACAGACTGAAGAAATCTGCCACTTCCTTACAGAGCCCCTCCTCCAACACACATGAACGCGCACATGACCAATGAGGGCACGAGATAAGTTTGTGCACAGATGGAAGGCTGACAGGCAGGTAGGCCATCCAGTTATTTTAGCCGGGCTGGTGTCAGTACCATATGTGCTCGGCCTACCAGATCTGCTCGGAGTCCGTTACGCTTACCAATGACGTCACGCATTGGCTGTACGGCATCCCAAGAGGTAATAATAATAATTCTAAATAAAACAGGAAGTTAACCTAAATTACATTTAAGACGCTGCAACGAAAGTAACACAAACAATGTAATATCCTTTTCCGTTTCACAGAACACAAATAGGGTTATTTACATAATTATGTTTACACTGGTGACATTTACGGGACACAATTCACTGGGTTATATAGTGTGTGTTGCACCACGGACGAGTTAGTGAGTGCACCTGTGTTGTGTTGTCATTCTAGCTTGTGTAGCGTGTATACAAGATCATCCTGCTTTGCTGTAATGTGATGGAAATAAAGTGTGGTGTTCCATACTAAACACGCTGCATCCGACTCCCATTTATCGGCTCTACAACACTGTCGATTGTTCTTTTTTAACATTCAAACATAAAAAATAACAATCGACACAACAGATGATACAAATGTTTGTGTCAGTAAATGTGTACTAACAGAGGCGGGGGTGTGTGTGGAAATAACGGGGACAGAGCTGACTGCTGTCAGACGATCAGCTGTGCAGCGTCATCACAAACGGACCGCTTCACGTGACGCCCCGGAGGAAAGGACGTCCCATTGCTCTTAAAACTAATTTCCCTGCTTCTCGTGGTTTCCTTGCGTCTCTCCCATAGACTGTATATATAAATGGACGTAGGGTCCGTGACGTCACCCATAGGATTCTGCAGAGTTGCCGAGAAGCCCTTAGTAGGCGGAGTCGGCCACTAACGGCTCGACAGTGACGTCAGAGTTCAACTCCCGCCTGCTCCTAATAAGGGCAAAGAGGCGGAGCCGAGGCGGGACCTCCTGCCAACGAGCTGGAAGTTCCAGAGCTAGCTGAAGCTACCAAGCTAAGCTAACATGCTCCCCATCTGCACACTGTCGTGGCATTTTACGTTTCTAAGGTAAGCGGACATGAAGCTATTCAGCAAAACTATAAATAATAATCTAAGTTATTGAGTTTTTAGCATAATACTTCAGAATCTTAAAACCCCTTAACGTTTGTATGCAATTGTGCTAAATTCAACACTGGGATCAAGCAAATATTAATATGTTTGCATGACATTAGTTATTTATATTTTGATATCACTTAACTATACGTTTAATACATTTAAGTCAAGCTAAAGTACATGTGATGGTAGCTAGTTAGTGCTCTTACCTGTGAGGCCTCCTCCAAACAGCATAATAACCAGACTGTATCATTAAAACCAAGTACCAGTTCTAGATCCTTGACTTTAGACAAACAATTCAAAAGACAAAATGTATTTAAAGACCAATCTTTATTTGAATGTGCCTCTTAACCTGAGATATTAGTTATACAGTAATAGTATTGACAATCTAAAAAAACTGAGCAACTCAACAGTCAACTTTATATTTCTTATTGTCTAAAGTGTTTATTATTTTCATTTTCCCCTCTCATATTCAGTGTGGACGGATTGAGACAGCGTGGTGTCCAGAGAGAAACCTCCGTGTGATGGACGTCCTGTCTGTTGGTGTGGAGAGGACTGAGGGTCTTTCCTCTGCGAGGAGGACCAGGCCTGATGGAGGAGCCCATGCTGGGCACAGCTGATACCAACTGCACAGGCCTAGTCTGTCACTTTATCTGACTAAATGCGTTTACTTATACATTTAATAGGTTTACACCTTCTGCCCATATGTGCTTTTTATTTAAAACATTTGATTAACTTTTGGTTCACATTTCAATAAATTGTATTTGTATTTGCACTCCTTTTGTCCATTATTCTTACTGAAAATGTTAGATTACACATTCACATCTGACTGAAGATTGGCCCCATTTATTTGTGACGTTGCAAACTCTGCGGTACAAGGCACAAGTGATGTGAAGCTCATAAAGTGAGGCTAATAGAAATAATCAGCTGATGGAGTGTAGATGTGGAAATAGCTGCATTCGATCAGCTGACTGTTTTTACAATAAAAGTAGTTTCTTAGTGAATGTCCTGTACTGGTCTTAAAATCTCATAACATCAGCTTTTAATGTTCCTCTTGGATGTTCTTCTTGACCCTCAGAGAAGGAGAACATGTCGTGTCTTTCAGGCATGTCCTTTCCTAACAAAAATGACAGGAAACATAAAACATATTATTGTAGAACAAGTGTGTTATTTATGAAAGCGGTGTGTTTGTGTGTTTAGGGGCTGTAGATATCATTATTTTGTAATTGTAATGTTTTTTTTTTATTTCAACAGTGAGCTACAAAGACAATCAGATTATGAATGAACAGTATGAAGTTCATCAACATTGAAATATGTTATTTTCAAAATAATATGTAACTGTTATCAAAACGTAGTGTAACTGTAGAAGCTTTCTCTGTTGTCTCACTGAAAGAATAACTTTTACCACGTTTTTTACAGACAATATTGAGAGATAAATAGTAGCAGTTCTCACTATGTGTTAAATATCTTTGCCTTCAATACATTAAATTAGAAAGCTGACAAAGTCATATTGCTAAATATCTAAATGTAACTTTTTGCATGGAAAAAACCCTCAACTTAACTGATGTGTCGGTGATCTAATATTTAGTATTGTTTAATGGAATGTATATCAGTGTATTCAAGTCAATATTTCATTTATTTAAACCAATATCTTTCTTGATTCTTTGTACAGTATGAAAATAGAGTCTTTGTACCATGTGCTGAAGTTCACTGCTGTGAGGAGTCCAGTTCTGTCTCTCACTCTCTGGTCCAGCCTGCCTGCATCACCTGGACACCTTAAACAAACAGATATATATGTAAAGTACCATGTGTACAAACAATATAACTGATTCTCTTCTGTTGAACATGTTGGATTGTGTATTGTCCGAGTCAGGGTCCTTTTTATTTTACTGTAACTTTGGAAGTTGTGTTACCAATGCTTACTGTTTATTTGATAACCATTTGGTAATGCAATTAATAAAAACAACAAGGTTTGGGTTCGTTCTTCAGATGACTGTGACGTTAACGTGTAAGCTCGATAATGAAGTCCAGCTCAACCAACCATATTGTAATTAGTGGTGCACGATATTAGGAATTATGACGTCATCCCGATAAACCCGATAAAAGTATTAATAGCCCCGATAATATACAATATATTTTTTGGGTAAAAGAAAAGAATACTGCGGTGTGGGTGGATTAGGGGCTTGTTTTCACTCGGCTCCTCCCGTTTTGCCAGTACTGAGGTATTAGTGGTTTAGGAAGAGGGGAGTTTTTCACAAATCCAGCGCTCCCTAACTCATGCCTGGCTGTGACGTAAATGGTGTACGGCTGTGAAGCCAGGACAGTAAACAAACATGTCGTCGGTAGTATGGGACTATTTCAAAGTTTCAGAGTTAGATAGTTCGCTTGCTATTTGTATTAACAAATGCAATGCAGAAGTTCCACGAGGAGGGAAAAAGGAAACAAGCTATAATACTTCCAACCTGATTAGTCACCTGAAACATCGCCATCGCTACGATGGTGTGTTAAAAGCGTACGAAGACGCCTGCGCTGCTAAACTAGCGGCGAATCCAAAGCCAGCTGCAAAGGCACCGGGGCTTTTACCTATCGACGAGGCTTTTGAAAAAGGCACTTTATTTGGGAAAATAAATATGGTCACTTTGAAGAGTCAAAACTGTTCTTGGCTTTGTTTTGTTCATAGTAGTAATGCTCATGTCATTTGCTCACTACTAGTCTTTTTTTTACCACCAGGTGTGCAAAAACTACAGGTACATTTAATATATTATATTATTATCGGTTATCGGTATCGGTCTTGAGAAGCAGGAAGTTATCGGTATTGGTTTCAAAAAACCAATATCGTGCATCCCTAATTGTAATATCTAAGTAATCATCTTGAAATATGACATTAATAATTGTAATATACACACATCTTATTGTGAGGTTGATTTCACATAGACTACTTCGACATTAGCTTGTCTACATACTTGAGCATAGCCAATTTAAATTAACCTTAGCGATGCATACAGTTCCTACCTACATAATAAAATATCTCTCTACGTTACAAGGATGACCTTATTTTATCAACCTCAAGCAGAAGCCGTTTGTTCAACAGTATTATCCCACTTAACGCTTAACTCTATTTCGTTTTAACCTTTATATATACAGTCTATGATTTTAACTTGGAGGCTACGATTAGTATCGTTAGCACCGATGTAGCTACCACTCGCTTACACGCGAACCCAAGCCTTAACATTCATTACGTAGCTGATTAAAATCATTAACACATAAATAAAGCACTCGAATTTCACTTACCGCAAAACCGCATTCATGCACCGTCTGTTTTAACCGCAGAGCGAGTCACAATAGTCCGATATATAAGCATGAAGAACAAACAACCACGGTCGGCTTCAAGTTGTGTTCCCTGGATGAACTGACCAGGCAGAGTCCCTGTAGCTAGCTTGACGGAGCAGGTAGCAGAGAGACAAGAAGCTAGCAGCAGCAGTCACTTGACAGAGCCGTCACTCAATGTGACCACGCCCTAATTATATGCTTAACTTTAAGACCTAATATAAATAAAAGGGTCGCGTTAGAAAACACTTCACTCACACATTCATAATCATGAAGGTGGAATCTAACTATATCGATAATAAAAATGTATGGAGCCAGGGGTAGAAACATGTTTTTTTCTGCTGTAAAATTGGGCATTTTAACATGGGGGTCTATTGCTCCTTTCTGCAGCCATCGCCTATCGGCCAATATATGAACTGCAGTGTGTGGCACTTCCGTATTGGCGTCCCGGCTCTACCCCACAGTTTGCCGCTTGGTCTCTCCATGTTTCCCTGGTGGGAGGGACTAGTCACAGGGAAACGACGCAAGTGAGGGACGCAAGGAATCCATTTAACCGGAGTGAGAAGGACCCATGGTAGGCTACTGACACCGGCTAAAATGATTGGTCGTGCTTTTTACAGTAGCCTACTCCTGCTATTGGGATGTTAAGAGCATTCCATGGAATATAACAAAAATTGTATCTCGAGCTGGTTTTTCAAACTTACCTACCCCACCTTTAATAGCCTTTGGTGATTTATACATTTGCAGTAGAATAACAGCATACTTGAATCGTTTTTTTAAAGGGCGATTGATTTCCATTGTACAGTGTATTATTTACTGTATTTAATCAACAAGCGTTTAGCCTTTGTGGGATATGCTTAGTTTTACATGATTGATTTTTACAAACAAGTTATTTTCTATAATTGTATTGTGTTTTTCTATGCCTGTGCAAAATGAATATGGCTTGATTATGTTTTTTTCTATAACACAGTGTGTTTATTTGTGTCTGCCACCCAAAATGTAAAGACCTGAGTTTTAATCGGCTTTAGACATCGTCCTCAGGTTTCATCATGAAAGCATTTGTAATGGCCAACAGCTGGCAGGCTGTGCTACCAACCCCATTACACTATGGCTCCCATTGGATCATATTACTTTGGAAGTGTAAAAATAAATGGAAAATTCAACATTGAATTTTCCATAGAGATTGAGCTGTTCAATTTAATAAGCTGGAGACTCCTGCGGGAGTGTCTGCATTTTATGTCTTTGCTCTTGAATGTTATATATTGAAATGGTTGTATTATATAATATTTACATCAATGAGAGAACATGATCAAAACAAAAACCTGTTAAAGCTTGGGTTTCTGTTTTGTAAAGAAGCTGTTGTAGAATTATAATGTGAAAAAGAGAAATGATATATATATATACACACAGTATAAATACATATATATTATAACAATTTAGCACTGTTTCAATACACAGAGCACTAATACATCTCCATTTAAAAAATAGAACATGAGATGCATAAAACTCTACACAACTTAAATAAAAGCCTGAGAAAGCATGTTTCCTCAGCTTTACAACCTTGAACACTGATATTCACATACTGATACATGTATCACTCTATAGGTCAGATAAACACTGAGGACTGCAGATGGAAATTAGCTATAATCTGGCATAATTCATATCTTCTCTTTTCTGAGATTAATGTATTTGTATGCATGGTCCTCTTTGAAATAAATACATAATATATACAAAGGATATTGGTAGCTGCTGGCCTAATTCTGAGTCCAGTCAAAAATAGCTGTCTGATATATGAAGTATTGGCTCCATCTTGAGGGCATTAGCAGTAACTTTCTGTGAGAGAGAGAGAGAGAGAGAGAGAGAGAGAGAGAGAGAGAGAGAGAGAGGAGAGAGAGAGAGAGAGAGAGAGAGAGAGAGAGAGAGAGAGAGAGAGAGATATATGAGGAGGAAGAGAGGAGAGAGAGAGAGAGAGAGAGAGAGAGAGAGAGAGAGAGAGAGAGAGAGAGAGAGAGAGAGAGAGAGAGGTCTGTGGAGTTTGCTAGTGAAGCTTTGAAGCTTTTCAGCCAATTGGTTTCCAAGGGTTCATCTCATGAGGCTTCATTTGAACACAAACCAAAGTTTTGGTCGAAGTGTGTAAAACAGGCAGATTTGACATCTCAACAGTTTAATGATTTTGATTGAAAAGCCCAAGGAGGCTGGTAAACATTGCAAAGAGGGATTTGTATTCCTTAATAATATTCGTAAACTTAACCATGTTGTTGTAGCCTGAGAAAGGCTAAACCATATCAAAGAATACATGTATTAACTACATTATCACATTTAGCTGTAGCTTTTATAAACAAACCAAAAAGACTTATTGACCAGTCTTTGAACCAGGGACTCTGCGGTTGTGAGTCAACTGCTTTCCAGCTGAGCCACAGCACACTGAATCTACCCGAAAACACTGTATTGTAGTGCCAGGAAAAGGGAGTCGGAGGCAGTGTATTAAGAACAGAGTTCCAATCTTTATTAGCCATTAATAACAGAGAGGTTATCACATGAACTGCTCTGCTTGACGAGCTAGCAGGAATGGAAGCTAACGCTACAGGTGTTCCCACTAAAGGGTCCGTGTGGCAACACAATACGAGAGGTGCATTATGTCCAATAACGTGTCACCACACAAGCCCCCCCAGAATTCACGTGTAAACAAAATCCGTATGGCGGGGAGGAACAATCTGCCTGCCCCCACGAGACCTGCGCACCGGAGTCGGTACAGCGACCTCCGCCCGTGCGGCCCCTGACAGAGGAGGGACCGGAACAACAGGTCCACACTCCCTGACAGGAATCAAAGCCGGGGGTCGGCCCCGTCTCGGCGGCCGAGCCAGCACCACCGGCCGGTCCACGTCCAAGTGAGCAGCCTTCACCCGGTCAACCGAGACGTGCTCAGCCTTACCGCCCATGTCGACCACCAGGTGTTTTTCACCGTGTTCCAAAACCCGGAAAGGTCCATCGTGCAGGGGGCCTCTGTGTGCGTCGTGACGAATTAAGACGTGCCCAGCCGAGCGTAGCTCCGCGGGAACTTGAGACCCTGGCGCACCGTGCTGAGTAGTCGGGACTGGAGTGAAAGCCTCCGCCGCGTCACGCAGAAAAACTCGCTGGGCCGTGGAAATCCCCCGGAACTCTCAGCGGCTGACCGTAGACCATCTCCGCTGTAGAACACTGCAGATCTTCCTTAGGTGCGGTCCTCAGGCCCAGCATCACCCAGGGCAGCTTGTCGACCCAGTTACCGTCCATAAGGCCGGCCTTCATGGAGCGATGAAACCGCTCGCAGAGGCCGTTAGCCTGAGGGTGGTAAGCGGTAGTCCTGTGCAGCTCAACCCCCAAACCGCCTGCCACACCGTTCCAGAGCTCAGACGTGAACTGAGAGCCCCTGTCTGAGGAAATGTCTGACGGGGTGCCAAAACGACACACCCACGTTGCAATGAAGGCCCGGGCAACGTCTGCGGCTGATGTCGAAACGAGCGGAACCCCCTCCGGCCAACGGGTCGTTCTATCCACCATGGTGAGGAGGTAGGAAAACCCCTGAGAAGAAGGCAACGGACCAACCAGGTCAATGTTGACGTGATCAAACCTCCTCTCAGGCACCAGGAAACGCTCCAACGGGGCCTTCGTGTGGCGGTGCACCTTAGCGCGTTGACAAGCTACGCACTCCCTGGCCCAAGTCCTCACTTCCCTTTTCAGTCCTTGCCAAACGAACTTCGCCGCTACCAAACGTACCGAAGGTTTAACGCCGGGGTGTGACAGGCCGTGCACAGCCTCGAACACAGGACGCCTCCAGCTGGCAGGGACGACAGGCCGCGCCAGGCCCGTAGAGACGTCACACAGGAGAGTAATGCCCGCGTCGCCGAACACCACGTCCTCCAAGCGCAGCCCCGCGCTCTCCACCTTCAGAGCCTGGACGCCGGGATCTGTGACCTGGTCCGCCGCCATGCGAGTATAGTCCAGGCCCAACTGGACGGCACCGATGACGACCCTGGAGAGGCAATCAGCAACCAGGTTCGACTTGCCAGCCACATGCTTAATGTCCGTAGTGAACTCCGATATGTAGGACAGCTGCCGCGAGCGGCTTGTGGTCGACAAACGCCGTAAATTCACGGCCTTCCAGCATGAAACGGAAGTGCCGCATGGCCAAATAAAGTCAGAGGAAATCCCGGACAAAGGCGCTGTATTTGCGTTCTCTAGGCGTCAGCTGGCGGCTGAAAAAGGTGAGCGGCTGCCAAGCGCCCTCCACCCACTGCTCGTGCACTGCGCCGACCGCGTAGTCCGACGCGTCCGTGGTGATGGAGATGGGAGCCGTAGATGATGGGTGTGCCAACAAAGCCGCCTGAGCCAACGCGGTTTGACCTCAGCAAAAGCGCCGTCCGCCTCTGCGGTCCAGTCGATCTCCTGGACGGGGGTCTTGCCTTTCAACGCGTCATACAGCGGCCGCATGATGTGTGCGGCCCGGGCGATGAAACGGTGGTAGAAGGTCACCATCCCCAGAAACTTACGGAGCGACCGGGCTGTGAGCGGGCGAGGAAAAGCCGCAACAGCCTCCACCTTCGCTGGCAGAGGTGTCGCACCACCCTTGGTGACGCGGTGCCCCAGGAAATCGATGTCCGACACCCCGAACTGGCACTTTGCAGGATTGATGATTAATCCGTGTTCGTTGAGCCGTGTGAAAAGGGCTCGGAGGTGGGACAGGTGCTCCTGCACTGAAGCGCTGGTGACGAGTATGTCGTCGAGGTAGACAAACACAAACGGCAGGTCCCGCAGCACCGAATCCATCAGGCGCTGGAACGTCTGAGCGGCATTCTTGAGTCCAAAAGGCATCCGCAGGAACTCAAAAAGTCCAAAAGGCGTTATCACTGCTGTCTTGGGAATGTCCAGGGGATGCATGGGCACCTGGTGGTATCCACGCACCAGGTCCACCTTGGAAAACACCCCCGTACCGGCCAGATGCGCCGAAAAGTCCTGAATGTGCGGCACCGGATAGCGGTCAGGTGTAGTGGCGTCGTTGAGTCGGCGGTAATCCCCGCACGGGCGGAACCCGCCGTTCGGTTTGGGAACGACGTGCAGGGGGGAAGCCCAAGGACTGTCGGAGCGGCGGACAATGCCCCGGCGCTCCATGGTTGCGAACTCCGCCCTCGCTACAGCCAGCTTAGAAGGGTTCAACCGCCGGGCCCTGGCGTAGACAGGAGGCCCCCCAGTAGTGACGTGGTGTTCCACGCCATGCTTAGTGGTAAGCGCAGAGAAGGTGGGTAGCGACAGGTCTGGAAACTCGGCCAACAGTCTGAGAAATGTGTCTGCCCCTGACAGCGAGCATGACAGCCCGTCGTACGCTGCGCTGCCAAGTGTGCACACGAGGGAAGAAAACGTTAAGGCATCAACCAAACGCCTATTCTTAACGTCCACTAAGAGTCCATGAGAGAGCATGAAAGAAAAATTGCAAAGGAAGCCAAAGAGAATCCGAAAGCTTTTTATAAATATGCCAGAAGCAAGCTAAAAGTCAATGCCACAGTCGGAGATCTGAAAAAGGCTAATGGCAGCCTGGCTCAAAATGACAAGGACAAAGCCAATACACTAAATTCCTTCTTTGCTAGTGTGTTCACAAAGGAGGATACCTCATCAATACCAGACTTCCAGGACAGACCATTTAATACTACACTAAATAAATTGGACTTCACATCTAAGGACATCCATAAAAAACTATCGAACTTAGATGCCTCAAAAGCATCAGGACCGGATGGCATCTATCCCAGGATTCTCAAAGAACTGTGTGACGAACTAGATGAACCCTTACTTACCATATTTAAAAAATCGCTTGATGAAGGTGTGGTACCACAGCCTTGGAAAGATGGTCATGTAACTCCTATATTCAAAAAAGGTGACCGAAGCAATCCTGGAAACTATAGGCCTGTCAGCCTTACAGCAGTAGTATGCAAACTCCTTGAATCCTTGGTGCGTGATGCCGTCATAGAACATCTTGACTCAAACAACCTATTATCAGACCGCCAACACGGCTTCGTCCAGGGCAGATCCTGTTCAACCCAACTCCTGGCCTGCCTTGACATATGGTCTCGTACCCTTGACGAAAGAGGAAGTCTCGATGCCATTTATTTGGATTTCCAGAAAGCATTTGATACTGTACCTCACAAAAGATTACTGAATAAGCTCTATGGGTATGGTATCCGTGGAGACATACTCACCTGGATCTCAGACTTTCTCAAAAACAGGCGACAGAGAGTCTTTGTTAACGGGAAACCATCTGGATGGTGCCCAGTTCTCAGTGGAATTCCACAAGGTAGTGTCCTGGGTCCTGCACTGTTTGTCCTCTATATCAACGACCTACCGGATAATGTGAGCTCCTGGGTCCAGATGTTTGCAGATGATACTAAAGTCTTCAAGGAAATTAAGTGTAAAGAGGATGCAGAAAAACTCCAGTCAGATCTCAGAGAAATACAAAGATGGTCCGAGTGTTGGCAGCTCAAATTCAATGCAGCAAAGTGCAAAGTAATGCACTTAGGTTTTCTGAATAAAAAATATGAGTATAATATGGGTGATAATTCAAACACTATAAACCTATCCGAGACTCAGAATGAAAAGGACCTTGGTGTGAATGTTGATAATACCCTGACATTTAGTGACCATATCCGTCGGGCAAGTAACAAAGCCAATGGTATCCTAGCAATGATCCGCAGATCATACACTTATTTGGACTCTGACGTAGTACGTAGTTTATACATCTCTCTTGTACGGCCACTCCTCGAGTATGGGAATGTCGCTTGGTCCCCCATGTACAAAAAGGATGCTGAGCTCATCGAGAAAATACAGAGAAGGGCAACGAAGCTGGTTCCAGAACTAAAGGACCTACCATATCAAGAACGACTGCAACGTCTTAAAATCCCGAGTATGTATTATAGAAGGGCGAGGGGAGATATGATCGAAGTTTTCAAATATCTCCACAACATCTACAAAACATCATGCCCACTACAACGGGATTATAACACCAGGACTCGTGGACACTGCCTCAAGTTGAAGAAACAGTACTCAAGACTGGCTATCCGCCGCAACTTTTTCAGCCTGCGTGTGGTTGACTTGTGGAATGATCTGCCAGAAAGCGTTGTCACATCCAAGACGGTTAACTGTCTCAAATCCCGCCTCGACCACTACTGGTCAAACATCACCTTCACTTTGGACTATGTGACTGTTGCCAGCATCCATAGTAAATAAAGAATCAGTGATCTACTCATTTATTTATGAGCGACTAAAAGGCCTTAGGCCTATTACAGCCGTATCCTATTGATTGATTGATTGATGAGCACACAAAAAATCCGCTCCGAGGAGGGGAAAAGAAATGTCCGCTGTCACGAAATCCCAGCTGAAACGCTGTCCTCCGATGCACAGACACATAGGCCTCACGGCGTACGTGCGAATGGGACCGCCGTTAGCCGTCGTCAATCGCGGTCCGTGCCCCCCACGGGCGACGTCTTCACTCAACGCTGGAACTACGCTCCGTTGAGCGCCCGTGTCACACAGAAACAGGCTCCCCGAAACGCTGTCGCTGACGAAGAGGAGCCTGCACGTGCCGCCGACGCTCAGAGCTACTACTGAGCGCCGGCCCCTCCGTTTCCCGGGGGTTTGTAGCTGCACGGAGCGATGCATCTCTTCGCCCTTGTCCCGAAACGTGCGTGGTAAACGCACTCTCCGGCGTCTCCAAGCTGGCTTGCCACAGCCGTGTCCAGCCTCTGCCACGCTTTATTGACTGCAGGTGGGCCGCTGAGCGTCGCGGCTAACGTCTCTGCACCGGGCTGTTGTGTAGCCAGGAAAAAACGATCCGCTTCCTCAGCCAAAGCACGGGGCTCCGTGACAGGCGTGTTGGCCAGCGCCGTCTGTACCCGAGGAGGCAAGTGACGCAGGAAAATCTCCGTGAATAAAATCCGGGGATCTTTCCCCCCTAGCAGATTTAGCATTTTCTCCATTAGCTGGGATGGCTTGCTGTCTCCTAGGCCTTGAATGTCAAGTATCTGAAGGGCCCTCTCCTTAGCAGATAAGCTAAATGTCTTAAGGAGAAGGGCCTTAATCGCCTCATATTTGCCGTGATGTGGGGGGGCTGCGATGAATCCCACCAACCTGGACGACGCAGAGCTGCCCGGCGCTGCTACCACATGGTAGTATTTCAGGTCCCCGTCACGGACATGTCGGCAGGCGAAGTGTGTCTCCACATGTGCGAACCATGCCTCCGCGGCGTGCTCCCAGAATTCCGGCAGCTTTACGAACACATCGCGTTCAGCCATGCTCATTAATTTCCCGGAAACTTTCTCGAAAAAGTCAAGGTCACAGGTGTAGTGCCAGGAAAAGGGAGTCGGAGGCGGTGTATTAAGAACAGAGTTCCAATCTTTATTAGCCATTAATAACAGAGAGGTTATCGCATGAACTGCTCTGCTTGACGAGCTAGCAGGAATGCAAGCTAACGCTACAGGTGTTCCCACTAAAGCAGGGGTGGGGAACCTTTTTCCTCTCAAGGGCCATTTCAATTTTTTCAACATCCGTTGAGGGCCGTACAAATTATTGACCTCTGCTTAAATATCACAGCCCATTCATTTGGCCTTTCTTTCATGCTGTGCAAAGAAAAAGCAACCTCTTAATCCAGATATCTTGCCATGACTCGTATGCATTCACGTGCACGTGGCATGACCACCAAACAGAAAGATATGGACACAAGATGTGTGCAAATGTATTTAGTTTCCTATCCATGTGGACATGATTTAAGTGGGGGGGACCTAACCTCCTCTAGGAGGGTCCGGGGGGGCATGCTCCGGGAAGTTGAAAGCATCAATCTGGTGCACTTTGAGAGCAAAATGAAGAGATCTATGGATACATCTCTCAACATCCATATGAAACAGAACTGGAAGCAGATTTACTTTTTCTTTATGGATATTTTACAAATCACTCTCCTTTCAAACTGTATTCTTGTTTATTAATAACAACTTTTTTTTACTGTCATTTAGTATTTTATACCTGTTTACTTTATTCTCTTGTTTTTTGATAACTATAATGATCATATAAAGATGTACCTTTACCTCATTGGTTGGAGAAAAAGCTTCTTATATTCGTTAGCATAGCTAGCTAACCAGATGCTAATAACAACAAAGTTATTGACTGTATGATCAGTATGACAGATGAACAGATCGCCACTGGGCTTTCAACTAAAGACACAGACACGAAAAAACTGCGGCATGTGTACGGCTCCTTATGGGTACTGCACTTTCTGAAGAGTTCTGGTGCTCTCCGGCAGAACTACACCCCAGACGAGACATATACCAAGTGATGACACGTTAGGCTCGTGTTGTGTTCAAGGACCATGACCGTTGCCAGGAAAAACAGGCACTCGCTTGTTTAATTATTTTGCGGTCTAGAATAGATTTCTTTAATTTTTTTTTTTTAATTACCTCGAGGGCCATACCAAATGGTCTCGCGGGCCGTATACGGCCCGGGGGCCGGAGGTTCCCCACCCTTGCACTAAAGGGTCCGTGTGGCAACACAATACGAGAGGTGAATTATGTCCAATAACGTGTCACCACAGTATCATATTTATTCCTGTTTATTCATTTAATCATGTTTGTATTCCTACATTTATTTATGCTTTTTTTAATTTATACTTATGACATGTTCCGACCTCTATATAAGTGTGGGCCTGAACTCTCTTAATTCCATCGTGTCACCGGGCCCGGAGGGGTAATATCTTTCTTATTATACATCCATGGGTATTATGAGCGTTGTGATTCAACCGAAGCACTTTCTGAAGCAGTTACGTGGTATTGAGGGGCAGCGAGGCTTCGTTTGTCATCGGTGACATCACTGGACCAAAACGATACAAGCCTCGATACAAGCTTCACAAAAAACTTCCGGGATTACTCGACACACGACACGCAAAAACTGCGGCATGTGTACGGCTCCTTATGGGTACTGCACTTTCTGAAGAGTTCTGGTGCTCTCCGGCAGAACTACACCCCAGACGAGACATATACCACGTGATGACACGTTAGGCTCGTGTTGTGTTCAAGGACCATGACCGTTGCCAGGAAAAACAGGCACTCGCTTGTTTAATTATTTTGCGGTCTAGAATAGATTTCTTTAATTTTTTTTTTTTTAATTACCTCGAGGGCCATACCAAATGGTCTCGCGGGCCGTAAAGTTATCTGTCGCAACTTTTTTAGTTTTTTTCAGACTGTAAATACACACTTTTTTTCCTTTGTTAAGACTCTATAAATAACCCCAACTCCTAGGATGAATGATTTTGTTATTTTGAGAAATGAAAAAGTTAATGTGGAGAAGCCAGTTTACCGCTATTAAAAAGTGACGACAGATTACCCACGAGTACCATATTTTTGTATCATTTCCTTCCACATGTGTCTTTGTCTCTTTCAGCGGATCATGCAAATACAATCCAAGTTATATAATTGTTATTTCTGTATAACTGTTGATTCAGCTCTAACAAATGTTTTTTTGGCTATTTAACATTGCATGGTGATTGTTTAAAAACATTTGGGGAGATTATTGTCATTGTGTCTTAGACTTCTCTCGAATCTTGATCTGTGCCCTCTGAATCAAGGCTTAAGTAATCAAGGGTTTATCACATAATGTTATAGGTTATCCATTTTATTGGCTTACTCATAACATTTGTTTTGAATCATAAAACTAACTTCTGTGTCCTCAAAGCACTGTGGGCAATTGTGGAAGTTAATGGATTGCTAGCAACTATACCTGTTGTTCTGATGCACTGTATACGTTACATATCTTGCAATTATATTGTCTGCTTTGTTTTTGTATGTCCAATTTATAGCTTTGGTAGCAAAGACCGCCAACCTTCAGAATATCTCCTTTGCTTGGCATTTGATGAACAGTGAGGACTATGAGAGGCAAGTCAAAGCAAAAGGAGACATGAAGACATTTGACTTCATACACATGATTCAGGTAAAATAACTTAGATTTTTGGATTCTTTTTTAAATTGAAATTATTATTTTTAGGGTTCCCTTTCAGGTCTTCGTGTCCATGCATTGAGAGCAAATAAGCATTACCTTTTCTGCTGAAAAAAAAGTGTTTATCAATCATCAGTGTATAGTCTGACATATTTGTCCTAGACATGAAAACACAGACTGTGTACTTGCATGGATGCAAGCTTTAATTGAAAAGGTTAGATTAAAACTTTCCCATAATGCTCTCCTTCACAGATGATCTACTATGTGGATAACCTCGCCGACACCATCAAGTTCTACCACAGCCTGCTGAAGAACAATGGCATCGTGGCAGCCAGTAAGAAGTTATGCTGTGTTGAGTATTGTTGAGGCTTCTGGATAAGATCATTAATGACCATGAATCCCTCTTGACTGTAATACAATTTGAAATGGTAACCATTATTAGCAATCTACAGTATTTCTTCTGGCATTAATGTATTTTTTTTCATCTCAAACCGTCCAGCTAACTGTGGCAGTGACACCCTGTGGAAGGCTTACAAGAAGGAGCTCTGGGTAGACTCCATCACAGATCGGGGCTCATCAGAGCAGGGTCGGCGTCATGGGGTGTCATTCGCGGGCCATGCCCCCCCAAATGAGTCACTGTGCCCCCCCAACGCAGGGTGGGCAAGCCTTGCCACTTTGCCGTTTTTAAAAAATAAATCATATAAGTGAAAACGTTTCCACTAAAGGTTTTTTGTGTGAAATACGTCAGAAATAAAGAATACAAATATAAAACACATTCTGAGCTGTGCTCACTGCTGCTCTCTGATTGGTGTGTTGCTTGACCATTGACCCCCGACCTTTGTTTTGTTATCATTACGTGGCTGTGTGTTTAGATGAAAGCCCGGTGGCGATCTGTTCATCTGTTACACTGATTATACAGTAAAGCCATAGAAAATAATATGATATACAGTGCAGTACAGTACAAGTAGCCTACTTCTGGGTCTCTGTGTTTCATTCAAGCTCGGCTCTGTGTGTGTGGCACGAGCGCATTTTGTGAGTGCGCAAGCGGTAACGTGGAATGTTGTTGTTAGCATCTGGTTAGCTAGCTATGCTAACGGATATAAAGAGCTGTTTCTACACCAAGGTGGAGGAGAGTCCTCTCCTGTCGGACTGAGAGGATCGTATAACCTCAGCTCAGTGAGGTAAGGACTCTCTCAGTGTTTAGATAGTTAACTTTAGTGTAGGTTTTCTCAGTGGGTTTCAAACGGTTTGGTCACCATTTATGTAAACCAGTATTTGCGAGGAATACCTTTATATGATCATTATAGTTATTAAAAAATAAGAGAATAAATAAAAAACGGGTATGAAATACTATAGGACAGTAACACAAGAATACAGTTTAAAAGAGGAGTGATTAGTAAAATATCCATAAAGAAAAAGTTAATATGTGTACAGTTCTGTTTCATATGGATGCTGAGAGATGTAGACTATCCATAGATCTCCTAATGTTGCTCTAAAAGTGCACCAGATTGATGCATTTAACTTCAATATTTTTAACATAATCTTCCCGGGGGAGCATGCCCCCAGACCCTCTTGTGGAGGTTAGGTCGACCCCCACCTAAAACATGTTCACATGGATAGGATACTAAATACATTTGCATACTTTTTGTATGGTGGCCTATGTCCATATGTTTCTGTGTTGGTGGTAGTGCCACAACCGTGCATGAATGCACAAGTCATAGGTGTGCTATACAATAGCACTACACCCTGCAATGTGTGTGAAAGACAATATACTTTACAGCATGTTTTTTGAAGTTGCGTTTGTGTGTTGGTTGTTGACGGCAGTGTGTGCCCCCCCTTTGTAAATGATTTCCCCCCCCATTCGATTTGTTCTAGAGCCGACCCTGCATCAGAGGAAGTTATCACCTGTCTAAAGAGCCTGGGTCTAAAATACGAGGAGTACGCCATTCCCGACGCCTTCGACATCTCTGAGTGCTTCAATCCAAACAGTCAGATCGGAGAACATCTGCTTAATTTCATAACATCCAAAGATCACTTCTACCAGTCCTTCACCCCAGAGATCAGAGCGGGGCATGTTGGACGTTCTCAGGACCAAGTGCAGCACTGAAAAAGAGGGCGGGGTATTCTACAACATCAATTTGAGCTGCATATTTGTTGATGCTTGAGAATGTTAAATGAAACAAATACACGGTCAAATTAACCTTTTGGCATTCACTTTTCCCTGCCGTTTGATCAATTATAGTATATTTGACTGCTGTTAAGATTACATTTACCAGCTTGAGTAGTTTCCTGTATCCTATATCTACATAATTTACCTTTCAATGTGTACCAACACCATCAATAAAAAACGTTATATCATTAGCTATTACGTGTTTCAAATCACTTATAGATAAGAAATTGCAGATATGATTTATAATGCACAAATTATTTAATTTTTTTGATTTCCAATGCTTTGTACATTGCGTAATCTGTCAAAAGAAAAGTGGATTTACCACAGGATTTCACCACGGGACCATCAATAAATTACCGTTTTTAATGACACAAAACGTTGGGTTACGTATTGTAACCCTTGTTATATTAGCACAGGCGGAGCCCTCTACTGGACCCTATGGGTACTACCTTACCCTGCGAGCATTCTCCCACTGAGACTTCTATAGACGTAGCCGGCCTTGGGCGGGCCTACCTGAATGCGTGCGCATCACACCGTATAAAAGGAGGCCTCGCCTCCTGACTATAATCCTACACCTCTCTTCAGCGAGCGGAATAGGACGGACAGTGCCCTGAGTAGAGGGCTCCGCCTGTGCTAATATAACAAGGGTTACAATGTTATATCTCTCACAGGCTCCGCCCTCTACTGGACTCTATGGGTACAGCGGGTGGAGCCCCGATGTATACGCGCACTGTCGTCCAACAAGATTCCACCCTACTGCCCCTGACCGGCTTTTCTGGTCAGCAGCTGCTGCCCCACATTCTCCTTTAACCCGGTTGTCACCGAGGAGAAATCTGGCCTGTGGCTGACAGAGTACACCCTGCTGCGCTTACCTCGCAGAAAGTGTGCTCAAAAAACAGTGCCGGGTGACCCCCCCCCCGCACATAGACGGATGGGGAGAGCCCCCTCGGCCCCGAATGGGCTTACTACACGCCTGCCTCGCTGAATCCCTAAGGATAACAGGGAGAGCACCAGAGCCCATGCCCCACACTCAAACACTGACCCCGTGCAGAGTGTGTGGACTAAAGTGTGGACGGCTACCCCACTCCAGGAGGAGAGCAGCCCTCCAGCCCTGTAAGGGCCCAGCGCGCCCCTCGCCCATCCCGGGACCCTCAGAGGGCCCGAGAACAGCGAAGGCGCATTATGTCCGGGGAGGGGGTCAGATGCCAACTGACCCACAACCCCCCCCCCCCCCTACCAGTCCTGTGTTGCCCCCGCAAGCACAGACGAGGAGAAAGAGCCCGACATGTTCAAGAGATAAAACCTTATGAAGGGGCCTGGCGTCGACCAAGACGCCACTGTGCATATATCCTCCACACTCACACCGTTGAATAAGGCTGTTGACACAGCTACAGCCCGTGTGGAGTGCGCACGAGCCCCCGTAAGGGCAGGCTCTCCCTGCCTGTCCGTAGGCATGTGCAATGCACTAGCAGAGCCAGCCTGCCAGGCGTTTCTTGGACAGAGCTTTCCCGATCACCCCGCCTCCGAAGCACACGAACAGCTGTTCGGTGCGTCTAAGGGCAGCCGTGCGCTCCACATAACATGCACCGGGCAGAGGAGGTGCAGTTTAGCTTCCCTCTCCCCACCATGGGGGAGAAGACTAAAACCCCCTAACTGAATAGCCCTCGACCTGAACGCACTCCTTAGGCTCTTGGGCACAAAGGAGGGGTTCGGTCTGAGTGTCGCGCCGCTCCGGTCACCCCGAATCAGTAAACAGCTCGGGTGGACCGACAGAGCGGTTAACTCGGACACTCTTTTGGCTGACGTTAAGGCAAGAAGCAAAGCTGTCTTCCACAACAGTGCTTTTAGGGAGGAGAGCTCCAGAGGCTCAAATGGTTCTAAGACCAGAGCTCCGAGCACTAGGGGCAGGTCCCACTGCGGGGTGGAGGCGTGCACTACTGGGCGCAGCTACCTGACCCCCTGTAAAAACCGCAACATCAGTGGTTGACTAAAGGCTGACCTGCCGCCAAATCCCTCATGGCAGGACGAGATGGCTGCTGCATACACTTTCACTGTTGAATGCGCAAGTCCTCTGTCCACCAGTAACTGTAAGAAGGACAAAATAGAGCCTAACTCACAAGATAGGGGCTCTATTCTCCTCTCCTCACACCATCGCTGGAATCCTAGCCACCTTGGCCTGTAACAGGCTGTGGTGGATCCAGCTCTAGCTGCCTGGATAGACTGAATAACGCTGTCAGACAATCCACCCTGTCTCAGCCTGTCCCTCTCAGGAGCCAAGCCTGGAGAGGTTGGCCGAGAGTGGGTAACGCCCCGATTGCACCTGCCTCTTGAGACATCGCCCCCCAGAACTGGGGAACCGCCCAGGGCTGGCCCACCTTCATCTGTGTCATATCTGAGTACCACGGCGCCCCGACGCGGTCCGGAGCCACTAGGATGACTGACAGACGTTCTCGCCTCACTCTCCCCAGGAGAGGGAGAATGAGACGCAGCGGTGGCGTATTGCAGCTTCCTTGGCCATGGCTCGTGTGCAAACGCGTCCACCCCCAAGGGCGGGTCGTCGCCCAGGGCCATGGAGAACCACAGGGCACAGTGGTTGTTGCGCCGGCTGACGTACACATCCACTTCCGCTCTCCCGAACTGGGCCCAGATCTGCTTCACCACCTCCGGGTGAAGCGTCCATTCGCCTGGCAGGGGGCCGCCCCTCGACATGAGGTCGGCCCCCCTGTTCTCCAGTCCTGGGATATGGAGGGCTCTCAGGGCTAACACCACCTCTGAAGCCCATAACCACAGCCTCTCCGCTGTGGTCAACAAGGCGGCAGAGCGGACTCCGCCCTGCCTGTTGATATAAGCCACTGTGGTGCTGTTGTCGCTCCTGACCATTACATGTCTCCCTTGAATTAGGGGCATGAAATGCTGGAGGACTAACACTACCGCCAGTAGCTTTAGGAGGTTGCTGTGTCGAAACTCTGTTAGAGCCCAGCGCCCACCTATAGCCCTCTTCAGGTAGGTCCCTCCCCATCATGTTCTGGATGCTTCCTTGAACACTGTGATGTAGGAGGTCATCCGTCCCAGTGGAGACCCCCTCCGGAGGTGATCCGGAGACCCCCAAAACCGGAGGTTGCCCTCCACTGAGGGGGGGATGGTCACCAGCCGCCGTTTGTGCCTCTTGGGATCCAAACGCAGGCTGGAGAACCACCTCTGCAGGCGGCGCATATGCAGTAACCCCAGCGGGACCACAATATGAGCAGCCGCCATGAGACTCAAAGTCTGCATGACAGTTAAAGCTGTCACTGTCGCCCCCTGTCGCAGCCTGTGAACTACTCTGACAGGGTGGCGCGTATAGCGCGCCTGCATCGAGCACCACTCCCAAATACAACGCCTGTTGGTGAGGTATGGGGGTGCTCTTTTTTCAATTGATCGCAAAGCCTAATCTGGTAAGGTGTGTGATCAATTGTGCTGTGCAAAACATTGCCTGTTTCCGGGACCCAGCCATGACTATGAGGTCGTCTAAAGGAAACTCTCATGCCGTGGGCGCGCAGCGGTTGAAGCGCAGTGGCCACACATTTACTGAACGTGCGTGGGAATAGGGAATAGCCCAACGGTAGTCTGTTGTACTCGTAGGCTATCCACTGGAAGGCAAAACGCAGACACTTTCTGTGCTCTGGAGCAATTTCTACATGAAAGTAGGCCTACTCGTCTTTCAGGTCGATGTTGGTGAACCAATCGCCTGGCTGCACAAGCCCCAGTAACTGTTTCATAGTTAACATGCGGAATTTCCTGCAGGAAATGTGGCGATTCAGGCTGCTGAGATCTAGAATATGTCTGAATTCCCCTGTCTTCCTGAGAACCAGGAAGTACATGGAATAAAGATAATTGTCTCTGTGCTGAGGGTGCACAACAGACACAGCCTATTTCTGCACCAGAGCCTGAATCTCTGCTGAGAGGAAACACATCTCCTCCTGGGAGGACAGATTTACCTCTTGCATGCCCATAAAAGAGGTGGGTGTGGGACACCCACAAGACAGTGGTCCATGTGATACAGTGGTACAGTGTATAGACATGTGGTACAGTGGGACGCTGCAAAACTGGAGTGAATGGCCCCGTTTCAGCGTCCTGTCCCTCCACCTTGTTAGCACACTGCTGAGTTTCCATTCCCCAGAACATTGTGTTAATGGACAAGCCCTCAGCTGTGGGGCCTTAGCTATGAAGCTGTGATACTTTCTGGTGACCCGTTCCGCCGCAAAACTCCCCGCGAAGGGAAGATTTGCCCATGGAGGGTTGACACAGAAAGGGCCGATTATTTTCTGAGGATCCTGAACGCACCGCCGCGCGCTCTTGTGTGAGCGCGTGCTCCACCCTAATGCTGTTCTCACCACTACGGTAAACAGCATTAATCGGAGTCTTTATAGGCGTAGTGTGTTTTACTAAGGTCCCTGAACGCACCGCCACGCGCTCTTGTGTGAGTGCGGGCTCCGCCATAATGCAGCCTTTACCACTACGGTAAACTGCATTGGAGTCTTTGCTCTAGGCGTAGTGTGTTCCCTGACAGTAATACGCCGGCCATAATGTCCCTGTACCCAGTGTGCGAACTATACCACGGTCTCCGGGGGAGCCGGGATTTTTTTTTTTTTTTTTGCGGGGTGGGTAAATGCTGATCCGTGCATTAATAGCAACAGCACAGACATAGGCCTATTATAAAGAGAAAATCTGTTGCACACGGGGTGGTGCCACAGGTCTACATTTACATGAAACGTCCCGATGGATCATGTTCATGTCAACAGATTTCCCGAGCATACATTGTCTACGCAAACTTCAATCAACTTGATAATAAATAATCCACGGACCACCAATGTAACGTTTGACTGTTTAATTAAATCAACTTAAAATGACTCAAAAACAGGCTACATTGTTTCACATGGGCTATAGCAGCCTACACAGAGCCGAACACACGCGATAAGAGCAGCCAGCGGCACCAACCATGAACAATATTAATAT